GACAAAGATTGAATAAAACCTGTTATTACATAATGGATTATCTTTATATGTACGTCTTGTATCACTTGCCTTTTATATCTTTATACCGGTTTTCCTCATACCGGTCAAAAATCCCCGTGGACGGAGCTGACCGGTATGAAGAGGTTTCACTGTAGTGTTATTTTCTTATAAAGTGCGTGTTATGGGATATGCATGATTGGCATAGTCTTATGAACAGAGCTTACTTCCTTCAAATGTAAAAAATTTTTTCATTTAACATTTTTCCAATTTTTTCATTAAAAATTTAAAACGTAACCACATTTTCTTGTAGTGCAAATGTTATACAGTGTATTGATATAGTTGTTATGAGCATAGCTTGCTTCCTTCAAAAGCCTTAGGGATTTGAAGTTTGCGTTTTTTCACTATTGAAAATGATCGGCAGAAAAAAACTTCGAATATGGCTTTTCATATAAGAGACTACCGATATCTAATCCCCCAGTGATAGATGTCAGAGAGATTTATAAAAACTAAAGGTTTCTGTAAAAAATTTATAATTAAGAGATATCATATGTACGGAAAAATACTAAGGTATTAGAAAACTCAAATTGGCAGTAGCCCAATCTGTCAAGAATTAAGGGATTTATTTAAGCTGACTACTGTGAATTCGTTGTTACTGCCGGATCTAGGAACCAAAGCCACAGTTAAAGCAGTTATGAACAGAGAGCCTGAATCGAAACACATTTTGATCTTTTGACCTCCCCGATAATTCTTGTATATTGCACCGAAATGATTTTGGTTAAAGGCTATACCAAGACTGTCCGCACCAATAGACCCAGACAACACATTTACGTCCATTGGATAGATGTCATTATATGTTGTCATTCCAATCCACATTACATCTGTATCCTGTCCATAACTATAACCATCGTTTTCGCAGGCTAAGTGACTATTACCGCGATTATCCCACCTCCGGCTGTCTTCATTGTTAATGCACGCTGCGAATTGAGTCGGCCTACCAGGGAAAACAAATTCAATACAAGATTTGCCTGGTCGACATGGTACTTCAACAATATGATAAGGGTTGTCTCGAGAATCGCATACATAAGCAACAGTGGTCATGTCTCTGCAAAAGGAGTTTGTCGGTGCAGGGTAATCCCCCCACCTATCGCAAATAGGCGGATGAACAATCAGAGACAGAGGCTCTGTTTCTTTTAGAGTCGAATTCCGCGTTTCTTCTAGAGGTATTCCTGCGACTATGGTCGCGATTGCAAGTAAAAAAAAAAAGTATTTTATACACAAATAAAAAAACATGTTGTTGCTATTGTTTCTGGAGATGATGAAAGAGAAAAGCGGAAAGTATATGAAATTGAACTGCTTGTAGTTGTTCTTGTAGAGGGGGTCAGATGTCTTGGCTACGATAGTATTATCGGAAGTCTCCTCTTATAAACTTTACCAAGTTATGGTATACAAATCTTTCCTTTTTGATAATAAATACAGCCGATACAGATGGCCCTTTATCTAACTAATATAATATTTTAGCAGTCCCATAAAAAGCAACAACAATAAAGGTTTCTTCATCGAGTTGATTAAAACATCTCGACATGGGAAATCGCAATTTCCTGATCGAGCGATCATATAGTCGCATGGAAGATAAAAAAGTATCGACAAAATGTGCTGATCAATTATATCACAATTCTATTGGTCTGCTTTGATGAGTACACGAGTTTAAGCATGTTCTATTTAAAAAACATTTTACAAAGGTTAAAACATCATCAGCATATAACAGAACGTCTCTGTCTTGGCAATTATTCCATGGATTGGGCTTTTTTCAGTGTCACAACAACGTGACTTTAAATACTAGACATTAAACTGACGGAGTATTTGAATATAAACAGTTTGATGTTAATTGTTTACTATATTTAGATATTATGAACATTCATAATGGATTAGTACTAGCTCCATATGATATTCGTTTAGTTGAGAGATTACAATTGGGCTTTAATCATTGTCAGAGAACTCGTTTAACATATGAAAAATCTAAATTTTCAAAGACCTCTATTGTCTGTACGTACTATGTAAGTTGCAATAATGTTTGTGACTGTATTTTCCGAAAAAAAGAGTGACATATCTGGCCCCTTTAGCGCTCTAACTGTAGTTCGATAAAGTGGCGTATCTACAAATGTGAAAACATATGAAAGTTCTACCCGTAACATGGTATAAAAATTATTGCGACCTACATAGTACATACAGACAATAGAAGTCTTCAAAAATTAGATTTTTCAAGCGTTTTACTATTGAACGTCGATACTGTTTTCCGGTAAGCGTACATGTGTAATTAAATTAGTTTAAATATGACGTAACAGTATAAAAACCTTTTCCAGACTTTTTATTAATAAAACATAGACAGTAACCCGGCTCATTACTAATTCGTGGTCTTTACATGTATGAATCAAGAATCATATGGAAATACTCTAACCATGCGATAAATCACAACGCAGTCTTCTTGACAATAAATTATAATATTGAGCAATATTGTTAGTGGTATATTAAAAACTCTTATCCGAAATTCTATAAAAGAAATTATGTGTTTGAATAGAGAGTTTTAATAACGTCCTATTAATATAGAATGGCAAAAAAAATTTCAAACGTATTCATAAAGAATCGCTGACAATTCCTACAGAAGAGCGTCGACGTTGATTCAAAAATAATAAAGATATGAGATCTTCACTGAAGCCTTCTACATCTTTAAATAAAAATTATGGTTGTTGTTCAATGCATGACTGTTGTATATAATTTACGTTATATAAATTATATAGCGACACAAATTATGTCAATTTTGTAATTTCGACGATAGATTTTTATAATATAATCAAACTTTTCAGCTCCTCACATACTTATTGAATATGTTCGTATAGTAAATCTTTGACTTCCAAAACTATCGCTTCTATATCCTCCAGCTCAAAGGTTCTGAGAGTATTTTCAAATACAACGCACCATTTCTGGTGACGGGATGGACTTTCGCTCATTGTAAAATTGAGTTGGACATAAAAACACAATCAAAACACGTTTCGTTTGTATACGAACATAGTTTAAAATTTTTTCTAAAAAGGACCAGTTTTCTGCTTCTATGGAAATAGTGAATGTTTTTTGAAAGTCTACCTCTATTGGTTGATAGAGCTCCAACATTCCCTTCGTATAATCTCAGAAAAGCTTTAGGGTACCGTTGAGAAAACGGACGTAAAAACCAAAGTTACGTAACCAATCTTTTGCATTATCAGACAGAGTATACGCCATAACAATCTTCTTTTCGACCGTCAACAGTAAGACATGTGCAGTGCAGAATATATATTAAATTCTCATATTAAAATAAGCGTTACAACAACTCTGTGCTCTTTAGCAACGTCGGGTGCCCAACCAAACAAACTGTTGCACTCAAACGGTTTAAAAAATTTGATGGAATTATTTATTTCCAAAGTAAGCAATGATTGGTGGTATTGTTGTATGTCGGATTGGAATAGTAAAGACAACCAGGTAACAACATTATAAGATCATTTATTGGCATTGTGATATCAACCCTACTTGCGTATAAACAACTGAGTTTGTTATAAATATATGCTACTTTAACGTTTGTAAGTTTTAGC